TTATTATTATTATTTTTCTTCTCGGGAAAATTTTGTCCGCGAATGATCTTGTAAAGTACACATCCGATTAAGGGGAAACCTTTTTAGGGTAAGTAGGCATGTTATGTAGATTTGCGGAACGAAGGTTATTTTGCGCTCACGTGCTTGCAAGAGCGCGCACGTGCAACACGTGAAATGACCAATATACTTGAAATTGCAGTAACTTTTACATTTTTTGATGTAATGCTTTGATATTTAGAATATATAGACATATTATAAATATAGATAAGATGACATTGTCAACATGCCATTTTGCGCGCACGTGCTTGCAAGAGCGCGCACGTGCAACATGTGAAATGACCAATATAATGGAAATAGCCGTAACTTTTCTATTTTTTGATGATATCTTTTGAAATTTACAAAATAAGGATATATTAGTAGCGTAGACAAGAAGATATGGTCAAAATAGCAAGATCTCACGCGCATGCACGTGCGCTTTGTTTTGATTGGCTGAAACTAAAGTCTCAATATCTTTCTTGTTGTTTGACAAAATCCTTTGAAATTTTGAACATCGCCATGCATAAGCATATCATACAACATGGTATATAGCAATTATTATGAAAACACGTGCATGCACGTGCGCTGCAATCTGATTGGCTGAAACTTTAAATAGCTATAACTCCCTTGATTTTCAACAAAACAGGTTGGAATTTGGAACATAGATAGATATAATGGACTTCTACAAGAAGGTATGGTCACCATGCACATGCTTACACGTGCGTGTACGTGCACTGTAATTTGATTGGCTCAAACTTTAAACAGTTATAACTCCCTTGGTTTACAACCAAACGGGGTGGGATTTAGAACATAGATAGATGTAATGGACTTCTACAAGAAGGTATGGTCATCATGCTCATTTATGCACGTGCGTGCACGTGAAAAGAGTAAAATAAAAAATACACTTGAATGAACGTATTTTTAATACTTTTGGATTAAATACTTTCATATTTAGTATATTAAAATACACAGATTGTGTAGACAAGATGATATGGTCATTACGCACATGCATTCACATGCGCAAGCGTGCAATGCTTAAATTTGAATGAACTTGGTACACTTCTGGGTAAACGTTGAAAAAGTCGCAAAGGCATAGAGTTTGTCCTATTTAAGGATGCTTACAGGTAATATGGCACCAAAATGGAATTGGGGAGCGTTTGGGGAACATCTGTAACGGTCCCCGTTACAATTAGCACTAGTTATTATTATGTTCCCCAAACGGAGTTTGGGAACATATTGTTTTTACTCTGTTTCTTATTATTATTATTATTTTTTTTCTTATTTGTTCTCCGGTAAATGCTTTGAAATTTAAAACAAAGGCATGCTTTAGGATATCCTACAATATGATATATAGTAATTTTAATCAAGTCACGCGCATGCACGTGCGCTGCAATCTGATTGGCTGAAACTTTAAATGGCTATAACTCCCTTGATTTTCAACCAAACAGGATGGGATTCAGAACATAGATAGATATTATAGACTCCTACAGCAGGGAATGGTCATCATGCACATGCATGCACGTGCGTGCACGTGAAATGAGTAAAATTCCAAATACACTAGATTCAACATATTTTTGGATTAAATGCTGTAATATTTAGTATATTAAAATATATCAATAGTGTAGACAAGATGATATGGTCATTACGCACATGCATTCAAATGCGCATGCGTGCAATGCTTAAATTGAATACTTCTGGTAAAACTTTGTTAAAGTCTTAAATGTATCGCGTTTGTCTTATTTAATCAAGCTTACAGGGAATAAGGCAACAAAAGGGAAATGGGGAGCGTTTGGGGAACATCTGTAACGGTTCCCGTTACAATTAGCACTAGTTATTATTATTCTTTTTTTTCTTCTTTGTTCTCCGGTACTTTTTTGTCCGCGAGTGTTCTCAGAAACTGTTCACCCAACTGACCTAAAACCTTTTTAGGGTTAATGGGTGTGTAGTGTAGGTGTGCGGAACGAAGGTCATTTTGCGCGCATACGCATGCACGTGCGTGCGCGTGATAAGAGTGAAATGACTGATATACTTAATATAGCTATAACTTTTACATTTTTTAATTAAATGATTTGAAACTCATTATATAAGGACATATTAATAGTGTAGATAATGTAACACTGTCAAATTAGCACGAACTCATGCGCATGCACGTGTGCTTCACTCTGATTGGCTGAAACGGAAATCTCAATATCTTTTCTGTTTTTTGACGAAATGCTATGAAATTTAAAATATAGACACACTTTACGATGTCCTACAATATCATATATAACAATTGTCATGAAAGCACACGCATGCGCGTGCGCTGCAAGCTGATTGGCTTAAACTTTAAATGGCTATAACTCCCTTGTTTTTCAACCAAACAGGATGGGATTTAGAACATAGACAGACTTATTAGACTCCTACAAGAGGGTATGGTCACCATGCACATGCATGCACGCGCATGCACATATTCTTCGCTCTGATTGGCTGAAACAAAAATCTCAATATATTTTCTGTTTTTTGACGAAATGCTATGAAATTTAAAACATAGGCATACTTTAGGATGTCCTACAATATGATGTATAACAATTGTCATGAAATCACACGCATGCACGTGCACTGCAATCTGATTAGCTTAAACTTTAAATGGCTATAAGTCCTTTGTTTTTCAACCAAACAGGATGGGATTTAGAAGACAGACAAATATAATGGACTCCTATAAGAAGGTATGGTCATCATGCACGTGCCTGCACGTGCGCTTAGCTCTCATTGGCTGAAACAAAAATCTCAATATCTTTTTATTTGTTTTTCTTTTTGACGAAATGCTTTGAAATTTAAAACAGAGTCATGCATTAAGATATCCTACAATATGATATATAATATGAAATCACGTGCATGCACGTGCTCTGCAATCTGATTGGCTTAAACTTTAAATGGTTGTATCTCCCTTGGTTTCCAACCAAACAAGATGGGATTAAGAATATAGATAGGCATACTGAACTCCTAGAACAAGGTATGGTCATCATGCACATGCTTGACCGTGCGTGCACGTGAAATGAGTGAAATTGAAAATACCCCTTGAATTAGTGTATTTTTTAATACTTTTGGATTAAATGCTTTGATATTAAGTACATTAAAATATATAGATAGTATAGACAAGATGATATGTTCATTGCGCATATGCATTCACATGAGCACGCGTGCAATGCTAAAATTTAAATATATTTTGTATTCTTCTGGGAAAACGTTGTTTAAGTCTAAATTGCATATAGTATGTCTTATTTAAAAGAGCTTACAGGGAATATGGCACCAAAAGGGAGTTGGGGAGCGTTTGGGGAACATCTGTAACGGTCCCCGTTACAATTAGCCCTAGTTATTATTTTTTTTTCTTATTTGTTCTCCGGTACTTTTTTGTCCGCGAGTGTTCTCAGAAACTGTTCACCCAACTGACCTAAAACCTTTTTAGGGTTAATAGGTGTGTAGTGTAGGTGTGCGGAACGAAGGTCATTTTGCGCGCATACGCCTGCACGTGTGGGCGCGTGATATGAGTGAAATGACTATTATATTTAAGATAGCCATAACTTTAACATTTTTCGATGAAATGCTTTGAAACTCATTATGTAAGGATATATTAATAGTGTACATGATGTGACACTGTCAAATTAGCACGAACTCACGCGCATGCACGTGCGCTTCGCTCTGATTGGCTAAAACAAAAATCTCAGTATCTTCTCTGTTTTTTGACGAAATGCTTCGAAATTCCAAACATAGTCATAAATTAGGATATCCTACAATATGATGTAGAAGAAATTTCATGAAATCACGCGCATGCACGTGTGCTGCAATCTGATTGGCTGACACTTTATATGACTATATCGCCTTTGTTTTTTGTCGAAATGCTTTGAAATTTGAAACATAGTCATACATTAGGATGCCCTGCAATATGATATACAAAAAAATTTAAGAAATAACGCGCATGCACGTGTGCTGCGATCTGATTGGCTGAAAATTTAAATGACTATTTCTCCTTTGTTTTTTGACGAAATGCTTTGAAATTTAAAACATAATCATTCATTAGGATATCCTACAATGCGATATAGAAAAATAATCATGAAATCACGCGCATGCACGTGTGCTGCAATCTGATTGGCTGAAACTTGAAATGGCTATAACTCCCTTGTTTTTCAACCAAACAGGATGGGATTCAGAACATAAATAAATATAAGGGAGCCCTTCAAGAAGGTATGGTCATCATGCACGTGCACGCACGTGCGTGCATTTTGAACGAATGAAATAAGAAATACACTTGAATGAGTGATTTTTAATACTTTGTGACTGAATGCTTTCACATATAGTATATTACAGGGAATATGGAACAAAAAGGGAGTTGGGGAGCGTTTGGGGAACATCTGTAACGGTTCCCGTTACAATTAGCACTAGTTTATTGTTTATTTTTGTAGGTACCAAAATAGAATTTATTCAGGAAATTGAAAATCTAAATGTTTGTGAAATTTCTGCATGTAGGTGAAGAACCCTTAGGGAGCATGCCTCAAAATAAAGCTTACTGTTCTAAATTTTCTCTTTTTTTCTACTAAATATATTCTAAATACCGTTCATCTTTAATAACCTATCCTTTTATGATAAAGTGCTTCCTTTTTGAAACAAAGAATGAAGGCGTACAAGGTGAAGACAATCCCCTCTTTGAGAGAGGACATTTCTGAATTCTTCAAGTTCATGAAAAGTTACATGTACACATATTGTCAATATCATTTTTAACATATTTTGCTTCCTTTAGTTTATTGAATAGCTTATCGATAAATATTTTTAGAAACAAATGCATGCAACAAAAATCAGTTATACTTTATAGGTGTAGAGAGCCCCCTTAAAAAAACTAAACCAAACTTTAAGATATTTTTTTTTATTATTTTCCGAAAGTTATCTCTCTTATCAGAGGGTCTTTATACCTTTAAAAAATAATAACGTCATTTCAATTTTAAACAAAACACACAATAATTTATCTCCTTTTTTCAATAACACATGCATACTACATAGTTTCAAAAGTCTTTTATCAAGATGGGTTTTTTTTTTCATATTTGTCTAGGAGGTTCATCTATGGGTCTTGACTGGAAGGACACATTCAGAAAGCGTGTTGAAGAGTGAGGGGTATTCATCGTTCCTAGATAGCCGCTATCAGTGTCTAGTCTCTGTTTTTGTTCTCTTTTCCTGTGAAAGAAAAAAAATAATAAGGGAATATTGATCTGCAAAAATAAAGTGCAATTCATAGCAACCTAAAAAACCAAAATATTATGGAGCTTCAAAATGAACTTTTATCACTATTCAAATATTTTTGTATCAAACAATGTTCATGGCTTATGCAGTTTTTTTAATCAAGTTATTCATTGTGATGAATATTTTTATTGATGTGTATTTTATCATGCTCGTATTACATGTAATAGTAGGGCGTTAAAAAATAAGAAAATAAAGACAAAAAATATTATATAGTTAACTAAAGGAAGTTTATGAAAAAATGTACGATTTTCTTTAAATTCATTTATTATTTTCAATTTTTATTATTTTTAAAATGTTTTTTAATATCTTTATTAATTGATATTAATATACTCATTTATTTTACAAAAAAAAAAGAATTTTATTTATCAGAGAGAACATTAAAATGATTCTTTATTGATGCCATCGTCGGAAACCCACGGGTGATCTCGTCTTTACTTATCACCCGTGGGCAAACTCGCCGAAAAATCGTCGTATGTAATTAAATATGCATGGGTCATTTGATTGGCCGCATTACAGAGTCGCGATGCGCGAAACAACGAATCACAGTTCACGTTACGTATGCATGTTCGGCATTGCAAAAAAACATGAAAAACTCATTCTGTAGTTAACACAGCTGATAAATCCACTCACCGGTGCATTTTGCAGATAGAAAGAGGTACTCATATAATATTTGACGGATATTAATGTCAGTGACCTGTACTGCATTGTTTTAAATCAAACTTCGCACGTTTTAACGAGCGTCAAAATATTTACCATAAATAGCAAAGTAATAAACGTATTTTTAAAATTGAAGAGTTCCAACTTTCTTATTGGTTGACTAAAACAACAAATTAGCATATTTTACGGCAATATTTCAGCGAGTTTGCCCACGGGTGATAAGTAGAGACGAGATCACCCGTGGGTTTCCGACGATGTATTGATGCATGCAGACCAGTTTTCCAATTTAACATTTACCTCTTGTTTCTACGCCTGACTGTCCCAATTATTACAAAGAAGACAAACACTACCAGGAAAAAGACACTGCAAATGATAAACCAGTGACGAAGTTGGAGGTTTTCAAAAAAGGTTACTATTTTTGATGCTGTATTGCTGGAGGCTTCTGGAAGTTGACTTTTTTGACTCGTGCTAAGAACATTTGCAGTGCTCGTCTCAAAAATTGGGAAAGTTGTTTCTGTTGAAATCACATAGTATATTTGAACAGTGGATGGATGGACGGATGGATGAATAAATAGATATTATTTTACGAGGGTTGTCCCGTAAAATCGTGGACAAGTTGTCTAGTTTAAAAAATAAACATCACTAAGTTCTGAAATTTTCACTATTATTTAGTACATATTTTAGTAATATATACAGCAAATTTCAGATAAATATATGCATAAATAAACAAATCATGTGATTTTATGTCATGTATTGTATCACCTTACGGCGCATGGATTATAACGTCAAAGTGTCTAAAACAGCGTCACGTTATATCTTTGCTAAAAATGAAGTTGGATGAGTCCGACTTAAATTTAGGAATTCCATTGATACACAATCTTTAGTCTCCATAAACAGTCGAAAAACCAATTGGCACCCTAATGCGATCTTCTGAAGATTTATCAGTAATTTACGGACAATATTCTCACCATCATTCAACTTATAGAAAATCTCGTATCGGCGGTCTACTGTGACAGCGTCTTTTGCTATAACATTAGGAGTTTATCCGTATGTTTTGTGCTCCCCAGGGATTCGATCAAAAAAGACTTTGCTAAGAAAACTCCTATTTCATTTGTATACTTAAGATATGGTGATATTTTTATAATCTTTTTTCTTCTATGGTCATTTCAAGTCTCTAAAGGTGTCATTGCATCATCGAATTAAAACGGAACTGCTCTCCGATGCGCCGTAACGTCATAAAACGTCGATTTTTTTCGTGTGTTGTGTTTACCATCTTCCCATTTCGAATGCTCGAGAAACTGCCAAAAATTAACCCAATGCCTTAAATTTTTTACAAAGACTACAAAATTGATTGTGGAAATGAATTAGGATAATTTTAATTCAAATCTTATGTATTTAAAACTTTTATTTTGAATTCAAGCTTGTTTATTCTTTAATAATACCTTGGGTTTTTGTCCGTAGAACAATACCCCGTGCACATTCATGCATAATAAAATCTTTATTTTTGCGTATATTTTATCGAAAAAATTATCATGCACTTAACTAGGATAAAGAAACATTTACTGAAATTTTCAGCTTAGTGCGCCCATTACTTTTCGAGAAAAACGCTTTGTCCACGATTTTACGGGACAACCCTCGCATATTTACCTCTAAGACATCCGTAGATTTTATCACACTCAGATTCTAGACATTGACATTGCTTTGTACATCTCGGTCCAAAATAGTTTTGAGGACACGGACTTGAACAATTCAAGCCATGTGATCCCACGCATTCTGAGGAAAAAATGTTCTGATATTTGTGATTCTTAATATTATTGGTAAAGAAATTTAATAGGTAATGATTGATTGTTTGATTGTGGAAGTTTTTTTTTTAAATCTACATAAAATTCGCGTGATTTAGTAACGTTATTTTCAATGATAGTCTTGAAATTTTTCAATCACAAATGTACTTTTTCAAAAGATGATGATATAAAGCCTACCATAACAATCCCCATCCTCTTCAAAATAACTGGTACAACAGGTCATAGAACCGCTGAAAAATGCGAAAGGGTGTTATTTGACATTAAATTTATAAATCATATGGTTCAAAAATGCACTCGATAATCATGCAATATACACGTTAACATGGATAAACATTTGTGATGGTCCAAAGCCCCGTTCCGGCATATACAGGTAGGCTACACAGAGCGCCTAAGACATACACTGTATTCTTTGCCTAGGATGTTAGTAAAACGGGTGGAGATTATACTGAACAGTGATCAGCCTAAAAATTTTTAAAAACAATACACAAATTTATGAAGAGGCAAATAACTCGGAATCCAGTGGTATGATCACGTACTTATAAGAGGAGTCAGCTCTTTTGTTGTTCGGCCACACCCGCCTTGAACCATATGACAGTTTAAAGAGACCGAACAATTGGTACAAAACAACATCTTCGCCCGTGTGGCGCAGTGGTTAGAGCGTCTGCTCTAGAGTTAATCCTTGCGTCGCGGGTTCGAACCAAACTGGGGGGGGGGACGGCATGGAGACCGGTCCTTCAGATGAGACCGTATAAACCGAGGTCCCGTGTCGCAGTGGGTACTGGCACGAAAAGATCCCTTCCTGCTCAATGGCCTTGAGTGCCGTGTATAGGACAGAATCGGCAAGTGGTGGCATCTCCATCTGAGTGAAAATTCTCGAGAGAGAGACGTCAAACAATATACAATTAATCAATCAATCAAAACAACATCAGCCAAAATAGCAGAGGCAAAAGTTATTTATATTTGCTAACAATTATATATTGCGTTTATAACGACTATAAAATTTACGTCAATGCGGTTGTTGAGATCCCTTGGACAGTAACTTATATATCAGTAACCTGCCTCCGTTTAAAAATTGGTCGCACTGGGAGCACACTCTTGTTTATTTAGTAAGTAGGGAGATTAAACAATATGTGATAGCAGGATATAATATCATGTAAACAGCGAATTCTATGAATGGCTGAAGCCTGCTTTCAGTGACTTTTTATGCCCCCGTAAACGAAGTTTCGGGGGTATATAATACTAATCTAAATTTCTAATCCCCAGGCAAGTTTTTGCTTTACATCCCTGTTATATTGAATTATTTTAACAGTATAATTTAATAAGTATACAGGATAAAAAAGTATCAAAACAATTTATTTTCATTTAATTTATTTTATTGAAGAGCTTTAACACAATATGAAAAAACGTTAAGGAACCCTAGAATGAAAAATTCACTTAAATACTGCATTATCCTCTATTCAAACGAATTCACAGCAAGACAACCGCTCCTCAAAGAGTTCACACTATTTAAGAAAAAATATCTTTTATTGAGTTTTTTTTCCATGTGGAGACTAAATCGTCCTCTAGTTTCACTAGATTCTGCTGCTGGAAAAGCTGTCTCACATTCCGGTCTATCTTCTTCCATACATGCTAGTTAGGGTTGAGATAAGGATGTCAATGGTGTTTACTGAAAGTACCTGTGCCTTGCCAACGATAATTACATGACGTCTCATTACATGTATTCCCCACTCCTCCAATTTGACAACGAGGGGAGGGCACTTCCGGTTCCGGTTCAATTGATTTTTCAGTATAAACTCTAGGATGATTTTGTGGTGTTTGTTAAAAATATCTAGCAATTTTTAATGATTAAAAGAAATTCAGGTCTGTTTCGTAAGTCTTTCGAGTGTCAATTATAAAAGTTTTTAAAGTAAAATAAAGACATACTCGTACAGTGCAAGAAAACAGAACACTCGTTAAGTACGACCAGCTTGAGCCATTTTAACTTCATTTGCACATTGTTGTTTGGACATACACGGCATTGTAATGAAACCCTTTTCTGTTTTTCGAGATCAATGAAAGATAGAGAACACATGGAAGTTAAAAATATGAAGAAAACACCCGAAAAACATATGGAAATCGAACTTCATGCTTTTTAACAAAAACGGTCACGGTCAGGTAATTACACATTCGATTACAATTTTTTTGGCCTTGACAGGTAAGTATTGCAAATTGAAGGCAAAATTGTGAGCAACTAGTAAATTGATTATAAGGTTTTTAACTTTTTGAAAAAAAAGTGGGGACTTAGAAATTTTGACAAGTATAGTTTTTACCGTGTCTGTCTGTCTGTTTTTCCGCAAAAAACTTTAACCTTGTTCATAACTTTTGATTTAGAGGAGCTATGACTGTCGTATTTCACTTTTACACAAAAATTCCAAACTTTTACTTAGGCCATATGATACAAGGACATTTATACTTCACATATGTATTCTTTGTGGCAAGACCTTTCATAGAGTACCAACAAACTTGATCTTTTAACCTTAACCTTGGAGATTTCTATACTTATGAAAAAAACTTTAACCTTGACCATATTTTTTTCGTGTTGCAACTAGGGCTGTCATACTTCCCATATAAATTCCTTGTGACCTTTCATTTGATATCACGAACTCTGACCTTGATCTTGGAGTTTGACCCATTTTTACACAAAAAATCTAAACTTTTACTTTGGCCCTAATTTTTATACGGTAGATAGAGGGAATTTCTTATTTCAAAAAGCAATTCTTTGTGGCAAGACCTTTCATTTGAAACCAACAATATTGATCTTTTGACCTTGACTTAGGAGATTTCAGTAATTACGAAAAAACTTTAACTTTGGTCATACCTTTTGAATGGTAAGGGCTAGAGCTTTCATACTTCACAGATGTAATCCTTGTGAAAAGACCTTTCATTGGATATCAACAACTTTGACCCTTTGACCTTAGACTTTGGCCTACTATTTACAAACTTTAACCTTGGCCATAACTTTCGAACAGTAAGGGCCAACGCTTTCATACTTCCCATATGGATTCTTTAAGACAAGGCCTTTCTTTAGAAACCAACAACCTTGATCCTTTGTTCGTGTTGACCTTGACTCCGGAGTTTGTCCTACCTTTAAAAACGTTAACCTTGGTCATAACCTTTGAACAGTGGTGCTAGGGTTTTATATTTCACATTTGTATTTCTTGTGAAAATGCCTTACTTTAGGTACTAATTAATATATTTTATCTGCATTTGAGAAAGCTAAACTTTCGCTATGTTGCCATACGGGGGCATCGGTGTTTCACTAACACATCTTGTTTTGCGTTTTTTTAACTTTATTTTCTGTATGCCATGTCTTACTAGTCCATCATGCAAGAAGATGTGTTTATGAAACACTGAAGCCCCCGTATGGCAACATGGCAAAGATTAAACTTTTCTTAAATGCAAATTTGATTAATTGGTACCAAAAGTAGGGTATTCTGACGGGAAAACAAGTGTGAAATTTGAAAGTAGACCAATATTAAAGTTTTTTCAATACGTACAAAAATCTTCAAGGTCAAAAGGTCAAGGTAATTGGTATCCAATGAAAGGTCTTGCCACAAAGAATACTTATGTAGAGTATAGAAGCCCTAGCCCAAACCGTTCAGATGTAATGGCCAAGGTTAAAATTTTTTAAGTAGGTCAAACTCCAAGGTCAAGGTCAAAGTTAGCAAATGAAAGGTCTTGTCACAAGAATTAAATAGATAAAGTATGAAAGCACTATTCCTAACCCTTTAAAAGTTATGGTCAAGGTTTGCTTTTTTAAAGTAGGTCAAACTCAAAGGTCAAGGTCAAAGGGTAAAAGTGCTTGGTATCCAATGAAGGGTCTTCTCACAAAAATTATATATATGAAGTATGAAAGCCCTATCCCTTACCGTTCAAAAGTTATGGCCAAGGTAAAAGTTTTTTCACAGAAACGGAAATCTACAAGACGAAGGTCAAAGGGTCAAAGTTGTTGGTATCCAATGAAAGGTCTTTCAACAATAAATAAATACATGGGAAATATGAAAGTCATGGCTCAACTAAATCAAAAGTTATGGGCAAGGTTAAAGTTTTTGCGGACAAACAGACGGACGGACACGATAAAAACTATATATCCCCAAAACTTCGTTTACGGGGGGGGGGGGGGGGGGGGGGGGGCCAAAAAAAATTTAAATATCTGACCTAGCTGTAGCCCTATGCCGACGCGATGTCTACGAACAAACACGCAAATGCAAGATTAAAATTCGTGTAATATTTATGTTTCATTACACAATTTTAAACCATGTAAGCATTTTACACTTTAGCATTTCCCCGGCGGCTTATAATTGTACCTCGAGATGCATGCTAGTATACAAGGCTTTCTAATAAAATTAATATTAATTGAATACTTAAAATTGAAATGCATCAATTGGGGGGTAATATGACTATGTGCATTACATTTTTAACTGTAATTTTTTTTATAGTTAACAAGGACGAATATTTTTCAAGATACTAATATGAATGCAATCTGGAATTTAATTGAAAAGTGTTAGCTATCCAATTATACATCTAAAAAGTGAGTATAAACGGCTGGTTAGAGTGTTTATGAAATATTATAATGATCAATAAAATGCTACTTACTCGGAATGCATACACCAGTTAGTCTTCATAGAAATCGTTATTTCTTGCAAACAGTAACACCATAGAGCTAGACGAGTCAGTACTAAGAACGTTGACATTTTTGCGCTAGCATCCTCTAACGGAATGTTTCTGTGTGTTTTCATGTAAGCATCCGTCAATCGGAAATACTCCTTCGAAAGAATATTAAACAAAGTTATTTGAAAAATGTATTCTTAACTCGTAGAACACAATTTTATTTCCTTATTAATATAAATACATATATTTCGAGTATTAAAATGCTATTGATTGAAATATATGTACTAGGTATCATGACGTACATCGATTTAATTAACTCATATGTTGCATTTATAAAATACAGGATGCAAATTAATTAAAGATTAAATATATATATATAGTTGCGTGTGGGAACTTTAATAACTACATGCAAATAATTCCTATATGATTTTTAGATTTCAATAAACCAGGCCCAAAGGCCATAAACTGAGAACAGTCAAAATTTCAAACCAATATAATATAACTTTTGAAATACTTGTTATAACAAAATAAAATTTTCATAATACTTAAATTAAATGTTACACAAAATTGCAAATTTTTACGTAAATACGTTAAATGAAACTTTTGACAATGTCTATTCTTAGTTTATAGTTTTGGGCCTAGAAGCGAATTAATATTTTCACAACGAAGAATTATGGTCAAAATAAACAGAAAACGAAATTGAAACCTAGGCGTATCTTTACTAAAAAAAAAGGATTTGATTTCCCAGAAATTCTTTTTTAAGAATGGCAACACTTCTTATACATGTAGATACATGTATCAAAACAGATATTAAATAGATTGTTTATCCTGGTGCTGTCTCCTAAATGTGTAGCAAGTTTAACTGAAACTGGACTAAACTTCCTGGATACAAACAAGAGGCCCATGGGCCACATCGCTCACCTGAGAAGCTTTGACCATTTTGTTCTTTACCAGATTTCCCCCTTGTTATACATAATGCATCCCCACCCTACCCCACTGATCATAATTTAGACATTTTGAAATCTACACTACCCCATGATCCTTCCATGGGCACATATGTTTCAGCTTTTTTGGCCCAGTGGTTCCTGAGAAGAAGATTTTCAAAGATTTTTCCTATATATTTAACTTTGATTCCCTATAATGGCCCGCCCTTCCCCCGGGGGTCATGATTCCTACAATTTAGAATTTATACTACCCCAGAATGCTTCCACATAAGCTTCACTTTATCTGGCCCAGTGGTTCTTGAGAAGAAGATTTTCAAAGATTTTTCCTATGTATTTCTATATAAAACTTTGATTCCCCATTGTGGCCCCGCCTTTCCCCCAGGGGTCATGATTTGAACAATTTAGAATCTACATTATACCAGGATGCTTCCACATAAGTTTCAGCTTTTCTGGCCCAGTGGTTCTTGAGAAGAAGATTTTCAAAGATTTTTCCTATATATTTCTACATAAATATTTGATTCCCCATTGTGGCCCCACCCTTCCCCCGGGGGTCATGATTTGAACAAATTAGAATCTACATTATACCAGGATGCTTCCACATAAGTTTCAGCTTTTCTGGCCCAGTGGTTCTTGAAAAGAAGATTTTCAAAGATTTTTCCTATATATTTCTATGTAAAACTTTGATTCCCCATTGTGGCCCCGCCCTTCCCCCAGGGGTCATGATGTGAACAATTTAGAATCTACACTATACCAGGATGCTTCCACATAAGTTTCAGCTTTTCTGGCCCAGTGGTTCTCGAGAAAAAGATTTTCAAAGATTTTTCCTATATATTTCTATATAAAACTTTGATTCCCCATTGTGGCCCCACCCTTCCCCCGGGGGTCATGATTTGAACACTTTAGACTCTACATTATACCAGGATGCTTCCACATAAGTTTCAGCTTTTCTGGCCCAGTGGTTCTTGAGAAGAAGATTTTCAAAGATTTTTCCTTTATATTTCTATGTAAAACTTTGATACCCCATTGTGGCCCCGCCCTTCCCCCGGGGGTCATGATTTGAACAATTTAGAATCTACACTATACCAGGATGCTTCCACATAAGTTTCAGCTTTTCTGGCCCAGTGGTTCTTGAGAAGAAGATTTTCAAAGATTTTTCCTATATATTTCTATATAAAACTTTGATTCCCCATTGTGGCCCCGCCCTTCCCCCGGGGGTCATGATTTGAACAATTTAGAATCTACACTACCCCAGGATGCTTCCACATAAGTTTCAGCTTTACTGGCCCAGTGGTTCTTGAGAAGAAGATTTTTTAATGACCCAACCCTATTTTTATTTTTTCTTGATTATCACCCCTTGCGAGGGGATATGTCCCTTCATTTTAACAATTTAAATTCCCCTTCACCCAAAGATGCTTTGTACCAAGTTTGGTCAAAATTGGCCCAGTGGTTCTTGAGAAGAAGTCGAAAATGTGAAAAGTTTACAGACGGACAGACAGACAGACGGACAGACGGATGGACAGACGGACGGACGACGGACAAAATGCGATCAGAAAAGCTCACTTGAGCCTTCGGCTCAGGTGAGCTAAAAAAGTTTACAATCAATAGGCCGGTGGGGGCTAGGCTTAGCCGCCTCCAAGTTTTGGTTTTTTTTTTGGGGGGGGGGGGGGGGGGGGGGGCAAAGATAGACATAATATAGGCATTGAATATTGGGGCGTAGATTTAGCCCCCCCCCCCCCTTTTTTTTTCAACGGGCACGTTGCAGTTTAGGTCAAAAAAACGGTAAGTGGTATTGTTTGAAAAAAGGTACTGAAAGATGTTCGAACCAACCAACCCCCAACCCCCCCCCCCCCCCCCCCCCCCCCCATCACTCTCACACACACAAAATAGGATTTTCGTGTTTGGAAAATTTTCAATGGAAACTTTTCCTTTTTTTGCTTGTCAAGTAATTTTGTTGGTTTGATTTTTTTTCTTTCACTTTGCCCCCCCCTTTCAATTTGCTTCCAATGCCAATGCAATCAAACAACTAGAAAGGTAGATAAGCACATCACATTGGCATAAGAGCTTTTTGTCCTCTGTCATCAAGCTAAAAAAACTAATTGAAAGCTCAAGAATGGGAAAGAGGTTGACAAAGCAAAAATGTATGTGTTCTGTTCAAACAAATTTCAACATTTGCTTATAGTAGGGATTTAACAAAGAATTTCCTGTTAGAAAGGTTATTTATTATTTATCACTAGAAAACAATCAAACATAAAAATATCACATCAAACACTTTTAATATAACAATAACAATCGTCAATATCATATGAAGAATTATTCAATATAGTCAAAATCATCTGGAATTCCAAACTGTTTATCAATCACACTTTCCTCAAACTGGAATTTATTTTTAATCCAAGACTTTATGGAGAAAACATTATCTGGAAGAAAGAATAAAGAATGTGTGAATGAATTTCAAAGTAATTTTTAAAAAAAAATGAAAGAAAATTCTTTCTCCTCTTCATTTTGACTTAAATTCACTTCATGAAAGGAAAAAAAAGAAAGAATATCAAAAGTCAAGTGTTTCTAGTTTAGACTTGCAGGTGTTCCTTTCAGTGAGATGACATAAACTTAACCTTTTGATCTTAGGAAACAATGTTTTGATCTTAAAACAGTGTAATTTAACTTAAATAATTTTCCTCTGCTAAACTTTTTCTGGTATGACATAAAGTCTTGTTATAGTTTGACTGTAAGGTGTGATGTTCATATAATTATTGCTTATTGCCTATTGAAAGTACAGACAGAAATGACTGGCAGAGGATATTTTTTTTTTGCAATCAAAACGTTTGACTGACGGTTTACTTAATATTGAGCTGCTTTAAAAATATGCACTGAAAAATTTTAAATTCCCTCTACATGTAATAATAGTATGATGTAGTCCCTTGAGAAATTTGAAGCTTTTAGGAGTAAAACATGTACAACTTACACAATGAGCCCTAAAGATGGCGCAGGGACAATTTCAAAATTTCATGTGAATCAAGCCTATTTTCACTATTTCGCCGCAGCTGCATCTGCTTCCAGGCCCGTACGCCTGACCTAAGCTACCACACAAATTGCAGAATAACATTTGTACATACCAATGAACAGCAAGAGATAATGGCTCAACCACCTCGTTTTCAAGCTACAATTCATCCTGTGAACCCACCCCGCTTTTCTGGTGAAATACCGGTAGAGCGAGTTTTGAGCTTAGTTTCATATTTCTAGTCCATATCCCATATACAGTAGTAGTGACACTAAAGTGTCATATTTCAATAAAATATACAAGGCCACCAATTCCCTCCAATGCACCCATAAAATATTCTAGCTATAAAATTACCTATAATATGCATTCAAACCTCAGGTTTCTCTATTTTTTCTATTTTTTGACCGGTACAGTACCGACCAGACCCAACCTGACACCAAAGCAGTCCCAGAAAGCAGTCCCTGGGACTGCTTTGGGACTGCTCTGGGACCGCTGTGGGACTGCTCTGGGACTGCTGTGGGACTGCTCTGGGACCGCTATGGGACTGCTCTGGGACTGCTATAAAAAGCAGTCCCAGCAGTCCCAGCTGCCCCTGGGACTGCTTTCTGGGACTGCTTTGTTCACTCATGTGTGACAAAGGTTCTGAGTGACATGATAGCTCCGCCCCCTTGTGTATTCTGAATTTGCAGGCTCCCTATTGTTTTGTTTACTTGCAGCAGAGAGGAGTTTTAACTGTTTAATACGCAAGGATTTCTTATAATCTTTAAATAACTGGAGATTACATGTATTATAGTTAATTTTAAGTTTTAGGAACTGTATATTTACACAAATGTAATATAGAATATTTTTAAAAATAAAGTTGTTATATAAGGAAGTCAGGAGGAGATTTCTATTTCTAAAGTATATAAAACTATACTCATGAGAAAAAATATCCACATGTAGATTTCTTTTCTTATTAAATCTGAAATTAAATACTCAAAATTTTCATATGGCACTATTTAAAAAATCATTACATTTAGATATAAGATATTTTAATTGAAAAGGCTAGACTTTTTACAAGCACCACGCTAAAAGGGTATTACATACAACCCTCAAATAAAAATCTAACAATTTATTTTATGACATGAAATAAAATTATGCCACCATTCTTCGTAACATAAGCAATGTGAACAATTATACGGAA